ACATAATTATATAAAAGAATGTTAAGATATAATATAAGACATAAGCTACAAACATCATTTTGCATATAAAAAAAATTCAGATTCACTTGACACTAATGTCACAATAATTTTAATATAACATTTCATAATAGTACAAAATTTTTTAATATTCCCCAAGTATAAACTTCACAAATTCCTCTAACTTATCTATAAAAATATTTACTAATGTACATTAAAATTGTATTATAACATTGTACTAAAACATCCTATTATAAATACAATATATTTCAAATACAATATATCAACATTCAATATTAACTCAATGAGTATATTATTTCAAAGAGTTTTTTCAATAGACTAACTTCATGACACTAATATCAGCACACAAGCAAAAACACGTCACGTGCGGTAAAGAGATTCCTAATTAAGGCTTAAAAAAAGGGAAAACACTCCATAGGGACACATGCTGAAAGGAACAAGCAAGGGATGCTCAGACAGGAAAAAGAAACAAGCAAAGATCGCATTCCAGTAGCCGCACAGAAGACAGAGTAAAAAAGTGCAGCACAAAGACAGAGGGACAGAAAAAAAGGAAGAAAGTTGTGTTTAATCGAAAAACCAGCGAACCTTCATCGCGTCGCTCACGATCGGTAGCCCTTCAGGGTTGATACCCTTCCGGTGTGGTGTTGTTCTCCCGGGTGCGCGATCGCTTCACTGTCAGACAGAAAAAAAGAGGAAGGGAAGAACAGCTAGGCCACCCCGTTAACAACCACCACCAGTTTCTATACAAGCTGTTTCAGTAATCGTGTAACTCCCTTTCAAAAAATTTATCGAAATTTACCAAACGAGACATACATGACTTTACGTCATGTTGCAAGTCACTAAATATACATGAAAATTTGAAAAAAGAATGGATAGAAATGTCCATCATGATGTGGAAGATAATATCATTTTTGTAATTTCAGACTAGTTAATAATTAACTATAGACTGGTTAATAATTCATATTGGTAAAATGTGAATATCTGTTAGCTCAGATGTAGTCATTGGATTTTGAAGAACAAATATTATAGAAAAATCTTTAAATTGATCTTCTCAGGAAATATGGTCCCATATGGAAAATGATATTGAATTTTAAAGTATTATTTTTTGAAGAGGAATCCCTTATCGACGATTAGTGCAACAGCCTATAGAACGTGTACAAGCTTATACACCTTTTAGAGGGTTGTATACGAGTGTGCACGTATAGTAAAGCTATCACCACACCCCTTGCCACACGCCACCTTAAACTGGATAATTTGGGAGCGGAAAAGAGGGAGAAAAAGAGAACGAGGGTATTGCTTCCCAGTTGTGTGAAACGCTTCACGAATTGCTGTTGTACGCACGCTAACCCAACGACAATTGTTATTTTACCCTCAACGATCCTCGATTCTTCGCCTTATGGCTACTCGCCCTCTGTTCCCCACGTTATTATACCATTTCTCTTACGCTCAATGGCCGTAATGTTTTCTTTAACACGTTCTTTCCTCGTACCATCGACCACGTACACTATAGAGACACGTACAATTTACTCCCGCAAATTGAAGACGATTTCTGCGGATCGGATAGGCACGATTTTTGTGCCTTGATAAGTCACGATTCTCATTTCGTATCGCACCAAATTATTTTAATAGTTAAACCATTTAGGGAGCGAATATTTAATCTTGTAAAATATTGGATACAATGTGGATTTTACGATACGGAAAAATTATTCTAAACTCTGTTGAAATTATTTAGACACTGTATTTTATTATTTGATTCGTCTGAAAAAATTACTGAAAAATTCAGAGGTCTAAACGAATATTGTCATTTGATCATAATTTGTCAAAATTGAAAGACAATTCTATTAATTCAAATTAAGTACTAAAATTGTAAAGTACTAAAATATTTAACTTATTAAAAAAATAAAATATTATTAATTATAAAGAATGTACAAAAGACTACAGTAAAAGAATTGAAAACTCAATTTCCTTTCATGTACCGAAAACGCACAAAATGTCAGGTAACGAGGGATTTTTATGAGAGAATCAACAGGAGAATAATTTCAATCGCGTTTCCGTTATCTCAAAAAAGTTTTCTTTTTATTCCCCCGTGCATTCGGGTCTTCAGTTTCATTTATGCTTCATTCTCGCATTTCAAAAACCGAACATTTCATCCCGCGTCGATTTGTCGAGCTCTCCTTTTGTTTTATTTCCTATCGGTGGAAAAAAAAGACTTTATTGAAGCACCGATAGTCCTGAAAACAAATTCTGCCGGTGATATTCTGCAACAACAAAAGCTAACGGCCCCGGTCGAGTTTAGAACGAGAAAATCTGACGGATTTTTCGAACGTCGATGCGTCATTCGCCTATGAAAACGAGGGCCAGCTCTCTGAAAACCTCCGAAACTGAATGGGCGCAATATAAAATGCAAATGACACTCCTGTCAAACTAGGGGCTCCTCCGTTTCGTGAAAAGGCGTTCGAAAAAAAAAACTTCGTCACCGCAGATGTTGCTTGGAAAATGGTTTTTAAATCTTTTCCACCCACGACATGCTCGAACAACTTTGTCCTCCACTTTCGAGCAATTTATTTATTCTAGCCGCTGGTATCTTATCATTTTTACATCAACTTTTCAACCTTTAGAGGGCCAATAGTGACATAGTTCTCAATTTTAATAATTAATGAAATTATTAAAAAAATTATAGGATTACTGCATTTTTAATATTAAGCATAGATGTGTAACATAATTAGATGCAAAAGTTATTTTATTTTTCTATATTAATCAATTCTTTTAAGAGAATTCTTTCTCTGTTAGTATCCATTATTATTTTGTTTACAACATATTCATCCTATAATAAAATAATAACTTTCATGTTGACAATGGTCATCTTAAAGATTTATTTTGAATCAGTCAACATAACCTCAAAAAAGTCAACTCAACCCCTTTTAACTCTACGTACTAAAAATTACAAAAATGATGTATATCATAGTAATACACTATGTTATAGTAATACATTTCATAGTTCCTCTCCATATACACATAAATCTAACAAAATATAATTAAAAATAAATTGGCACTCTAAAGGTTAGGAAAAAGTTGCGAACATTTCTTCCTCGCACGAAATAAATTTCTCAGACTCCTCTCGTTTAATCGGTTCAATAAAATTGGAGAAATTGAAGTTTGAAAGAAGAGATGATGGAAGATCGGGTGCTAATAAGGTGCTAGAGAAAAATTTGACGACGATCGAGTGGATGTCGCTATAGATCATCCTCGATCACTGGCGTTCAGAATTTAGGCACCCAACTTCCGTTTATCGATCGGCAGCTCACTATGTTTCTATTTATGGACCAATCTTTCGGATAACCACGGGAATTGGCTCGTTCGCGTGATTTACTGCTTTATAAATTATTTTGGAGATTAACTGCTACTGAATTGAAATGAAGAGATGAAATTTTGAATGATTTACCTCATAGTGATTTCTTAGCTTTGTGTGAGATAATGAGATGAAAAATTGTAGAAATTATGTTGATGAATTGAACAAGTTTAATTATTTAAAATTATTGCTGTATGAGTATAAAACAGTTATTGATTTAATTGATATTCACTTTAGTTAAATTTAATAAAAATCACACTTTACCGAATTTTAATAGTTCCATAAAAAAAAAAAACGAATAAACTTAAATTTACTACAAACAACAATAAATACACAGTCTCGTATACCAACACGAAAATCTACATAAGTAAATTACAGAATACATTGATTTGGTAAAATATACAGCCAATAAATTACCAAATTTACTCTCTCAAACTGCGTTTAAACAGCAATATTTCCAATTAATTTGATAGGTTTTCTATTTTGTAACAAGAAGCGTAGACGTTCCCAAGATACCAACGTTAATCTTTAAATTGATTCTATAATATATCGAAGCTCCTTCATTTCCCGCGGGAATGTAATAATAAGCGAAGCGAAATAAATCTCTAGAAACGCTAAACGAAAATTGATAATTACACGCTGTAAAGTCGCCTTGCTACGTTCGGAAGACGGTCTGGAGAAGCAGTTTTAATGGGGAGAATTCCCTCGGGGACAAGGATAAAAATGCGTAAGCATTTGTGTCCCATAGGCTATACCACAGTCAGTTTTTTAATTAATTTTCACGCAGCGAATCTGAGAAAAATTGATCGTTCTTTCAAATAAAAAATATAGTGCTCATCTTACAAGTCGTAAAATGACGGTGAAAATTATTGGTGAATATATAGAATTGAATTATTAGCCGTAATATATGATTCTATATATAATTTGTTCACTAATAACTCATTCATTAATAGCCCGTTCACTAACAACTCGTTCATTAACAGCCCGTTTGTTAATAACCCGTTAAACAATGGCTCGTTCATTAACGGCTTGAATATCTCCAAAACTAAAATCAGCTATCAGTTACACGTAACATTATAACCAACAAAAATATAAATTTCTACAATTACTTTCAATTTTGACAGAAATTAAAATTTCGACAAGCAAATTAAAATTTCCCCTTACTTTCAATAATGAAAAATAATAAACCTATGTGATTTTCAACGTGTAAGTCTGATATTAAATAAGTTATAAATCACCATCTAATAACAAAGAACTAACACACCAAATTAAAATAAAAAACTTGAAAACCTTCGTGTCCCAAATAACAGCAATTACAATATACCATATAATAGCTAATTTTGCCAGGGCAAACGATAGACGATCAGTATTTAAAAACCGATATTCCGCGAAGAAGATTAAGAACGATAGGCGTGCAGCTCACGAACGATCGATATTTCGTAAAAGTCGAGAAAAAAATTGGGGAGAAGAAACGAGCCGTCGAAAAATTCGGTCCATAAATATGCCGCGAGAGAGACGCAAGAAACATATTGGCAGCGAGCCGATCGAGCGATCGATCTTCGAAAGGGACAGAAAGAGATCGATCAGCACGGAAAAAGGGTAGCCAGGTGCAGGGTGCGGGGATCACACTTACAAGACTTACGATCGGCGTGTCTGGTCCTCTTGCGTTCTCTGGGCGTCGTCCTCGTCGCCGGCGTCTTCGTCGCGGTTTTCACCAGCGATTCCAGCAACTCGTCGTCGCCGTCGGTCAAGTTTCCATTGGTGTTCTCGTCGCGAAGCAACGGACCCAGGGAAGTGCGACCTGAAACACCGTTTTCAAACCGTTCTTATATTTGCACCCTCAATTAATTTGATCGCCTTCGATTAACCCTATTATTCACTCTGAGAATATCAGAGCAACTTTAAACTCTCTCACTCATCATTTAATTTAATATAATTTGTGTTAAAGAAATTTTAACCTTAACCTTTAGAGGTTTTAACCTTAATATGTGTTGGGTTAGGTGAACTGATGTGTGAGGGACATTATTTTAATGTGATAGCTTAAGTGACTCAGTATGAAACAACGTTAGATGCTGAAATTAACCGAAAAGTAATTTATAAAATTTTAACAAGTAATTCTATAGAAGACAATAATGAATTTGGTTGTCTATTTTAGAAATTGACGATTTAACACGTAAGCTGATACAAAAGTGTTAAATCCGTCATCTCGATTGATCTGATAACGCCGTTAATGTCGACTGTTAACTCGATTTACATCGTGGCACGTTACCTTCCAAATGACTAACATTAAACGTTAAAAAGGCGCGTTCAATCACAGCGCGTCGTGAAAGGACGCCGGCTCCGTAGGCGAGAAGAAACTGAAAGGCCATTAAATCGCGAGCTTAACGGCACCCTTAAACGCCCCGAGCATTATAACATTACGCCTCATTCAATACAGAGTATCCCCTTCGTCGCCGACGATCCTCCACATATATTTTCGTCTAACGGAGATCTTCACACCGCGTCATTTACTCGGATCTCGGTCCGTGGAAGGGCACCAGCCATTCTTATTTCCGTTCTACGGCTAACTCCTCGCGAAACAGTCTCTTTGCTCTCGGTACGCGGGCTAGAAACTTCGAAACCGTCAAAAGCACGGGGGTGGAGCTCCTTTGAGAGCTTCTTTGAAACTCGTCTGAAAGAAGCCTCCATTGGTGGTCTCTCGCTGTGTAAATCCGATACGAAAGTGTACGAGAAGCGTGCTCGGAACAGCCGAGAAGCTGAGGAGAGAGACGGAGAGAGAGGCGAAGTTAGAGCGCAGGAATTTCCATGGACCAAAAGAAAGAAAGGGCAAAGTTTGGGGGATGCGGTCAACCTGGTTAGTCCTAGAATTTCGACTGGACTCGGGAATTAATCGAGCTTCTTTGGGGAAAGTGCGAAAACAAGGGTGAAAGGATAAGTGATCACTTGTCGATTTTTAGGGGTTTGCAGAATTTGGAAATTTTTGAAGTTCAGAATTTGAAGATACAAGAGTTAGGAGATCGATTTGGGTATCGACTGATATGGGAATTTAAGAATTTTGAACTCTAGGACTCTGTGGATTTGGAAAAGCACTTTGTGGACCTGGGAATATAGAGACCTTGATGAGGACTTTGGAAATTGCAACTCTATTCATAAGAGAATCTAAGGATTTGAACTAGGAAATTAAGGACATAGAAATTTGAGGGAATTGAGGAAAGAAGGATCTGCAATCCAAAAATTTGAGATTCTATAACTTTGAAGACCTATGTATTTAATTATAAAGAAATTGCGGAATTCTTACACAAAATTTCAAAGCTTCCAAGTTTACATATATGCATTTATGTAAAGAAAGCATATGTTGCACCCGAGTGTACTAGCGACAACGAACAGTTAGGTTAAATGACTTCAATTTTGTCCCTGTTTGTTGACCCGCCATGAACCGCTTGATATCCGACGCAGCTTTGAAACACCAAAAGATCGCATGAATTTGCAAATCGCGCTAGCGTATTCATAGAACTTCTAACCCTGGCTTGCGAGCTCGTGACCCAACATATTCGTTTATCCGTGTGATAAAAAGGATGAGAACTAAAAATTTTAATATTATCGCGGCAAATTTTGCATCTCTATTAATGTTAACACCTTGCACATTATTTAATAGACTTCATAGGAATTTGTTAGCATAAACTACACAAATTTTTATTTCCCTATTCTCCTCAGTTAGGAGAGAACGAACTTACGCTATGTCTACATACAAAAACTCTCCATTTATATATAAATAATAGGCAATTAAATTTCTTTCACAGTATTAAATCGAATTGTATAGAATTATATTTTCATCGAATGTCTGCCCGATCTAAAAGTAAGAAAATTGTGCAAAAATGCATTCATCCTCGATATAAATAAAATCCTTCCATAAAACCTGCGGGTGTGAATGTAAGAAAGGAGGAAAAGATATCCCCAGGTCGAGGAGAATCTGCCACGACAAATCGTGATCCCTGTAGCGACAGAAAGGCGAGAAAGAATTCACAGGACACTCGCAGGTGTTCCGGGTGCAGGATCAAAGGTGAAGTGGTGGTAGCAGGACTTAGGCGCGGACCGTTTAGGTATTTTATAGAAGAGCATACAGGGGAATAAAAGGAGGAGAAGTTATGATGGCTGCAGCCACGGTAATGCACGAGGAGCTGGAAGTTTACGAGCCGTAAAAGGGTAGAGCTACGTTCTCGTCCTTTACGCGGCTATCCTTGCCGGAGAATAAAAGTTCCGGTGTCGCCGACAGAGGTTAAAAGGTGATTCGCGGTTACAATCTAAGACGATCTCGTATCACGTGGACGATATCAGTTTCGTTCATTGTCCGCTCGTTGTTAAACGAACGATCATCGTCGGATGATGGCTAATTCCACGCTTGAATGTCGAAAGTTGCTGTAAAACGCGCTTGATCGGCGATGAAACGGCGCCATTTGCACGGTATTGCGGTGTCGCAAAGAAAATTGCACTTACGGAGAGTAAAATTTGTTGCTGAATACTATTTTGTAATGTTTCATTTGATTGAAATTAATTTCATGAAGATTGATTAAAGGATTGTTTTAATCAAAATGTTTGGGATGAAATACGAACTTTAAAATATTTTATTTTGCCTCATTCAAATCTTTATTACTATTATATAAAATTTGCAAAAATCAAACAACTAAAAGATAGCAAAGATCCTTAAAATTTTTAACAATTTTTATCTTACTTTTTGGTGCATTTCATGTAATTATAACGAGTATAAAATGAGTTGGAATGCATTGTTCAAACAATGGCTATTGTCTTTCTCATTTTTTTGAAGCCCTCATATCTGCATTTTATCATACAAATATTGGACAAAAGAGAAAGCACAAATTACTAACCTTAATGATGTAATTTAAAAATACTAAAATTTTACTGAAAGAATAATTTATTAAAATGAAATACTAAATAAATTATAGAACAGACATCAATCGACAGACATATGAAGTCTTTTAACATAAAAATTTGAGTCGCATATTTAGGACAAAAATGAATGAAACAAGCTGAATGAAGATTATCGATTTTCAAGTAGTACACATCAACGAACTGTCAGACATAGTCATAATGAAGAATAGTTAATCAATTCCTGAATTCAATGAATTAAGGTTACACGTATCAATTATAAACACATCATTCATTAAGCTATAATCAAAATTATTCATACTGTCCCAGACATAATCATATCATGTCACACGATAATATGAATTATTGAAGCTAATAAAAGTTAATATTCTAATCTGCTAGTTTATGTCGAGTGCCATATTATTGCTATTAACGACATTAACATATATATTCAAAACTGTCCCATTGTTTCCATTTGTTATTTATTAATCACAAGTTAAATTCGTAGCATCGATTATCGATTCCCAATATGCCGATGAACGTGTTCAAAATAGCTTCCGAGACGCATTATTTATTATTTAGAAGTTATGTCGAATGCACCACGATTATATCTGCCGCGACAATTTTTCATGCATTTTCGATAATCTGAGGAGAAAATGTTTCGAACAAAAATTAATCAGCTTGTAATCGGCTTACATTTTTTATACAATTTTCAGTCGACTGAAAGCTGATTAACTTTTATCGGAGATATATTCTTGCCTGAAAAATCCTGGCTAATTGATTTTTGTGTCGTTGAATATCCAAATGTCGGGTTAATGAATTTCAAAAATGGATACTCAATATTAATGATAATGCTAAGTTCTCTAAAATGTATTCGAAACTCAAAATAAATGTAGTAGAAATGTACTGGATGCTCAAATAATTTTTAAGCAGCCAGTCATGCATGGGTGATGAATAATCGTAGATTTATATACAGGGTTTGTAAAATTCTACAAATATGCATTTTATCATCATATACTTCATCATATATATCATATACTTTATTATCATATACTTATCTACATCACTAGATAAAACGAATAGGCAAGGTCTATTTTAGAGTTACACATTCAAAAGTGACCATCACTTGACATCACTTGAAATGAACATCAAAGTACACATATGACATGTACACACATATGTCCACATATGCATCGCATATAAAGTACATTTATTAACACACCAAGTATATGAAAGTACGATTATTAGCACACCACGTACACCAAAGTATGGTTATTACCACACCACATATATCGAAGTACGATTATTAATACTCAACACACATCGAAGTCAAGAGAATGTTAATAAATCAGGCAAGTTTCAAAGTCCGCCATAAATTACATGATGTATGTTTACTTAGCAGATATACCCAAATGCATAAACATCCGCGGTATATCGCGCAGACAACGTTGCAAAATATATTTTCCCAAAAAAATCTCTACGATAAGGAAACATCTTGAGGTACAGAATATGGTAGACGTCTGAAGAAACAGTGTAAACCTCTCGCACGGGATTATCTTTTGAAAGTGATTTTCGCGTTTCAGCGAGCTCGCAAGAACGCAACCGCCAAAGCGTTGTGAAATCTCGATGCCGTTACTTTTCATTTTCCGGTAACACCGCCAAATGAGCAGGCGCTATCCCCGAATCTCGCCTGGAGAGCGTTTGCTTAAGGAGGGCATTTATCTCGTGCACCGCTACGGGCTACAGTATTACGGAAACGAGGAGAAATTTTCTCACTTTGTTCTTATCTTCGGTGGGGAGCCACCCTTTTACAGCGACGCGTTATATTTCCGTCCGCTAAGAACGACCCTGCGAAAAGTTCAGCTGCCCTTTACCTCGATCCGAAGGAACAATGAAAAAGTTTCGACATCGGTTAGGAAATGTGCAAGCATCTTTTACCCTTAAAATAAATCTACGTTTCATATGCAAGTTTATTTAAGTTTGCAACCTTATTTAGGTTAGCTTCGCATTACATTTGAGGTTCAATGTTACAGATTTAAGGTTAGGTTTGAAGTTAAATTTAAAAGACTTCAAGGTCTAGGTTAGGATATGCACTTATATGCTCTGACACTTGCAGCAAAGAAGTAAAATTTCAATTTTATAGATTTGAGACCCACAATTCTTAAAGGGGATGAAAAAAGACATCAATGTTTGAAAATCATCAAAAATAAAAATTTAAGTATTTGTAAAGAAACCTCAAATTTTTATATTTACCAATCTATATTTAAATCTACCAACTTAAAATTTTGAAATTTGAAAGTAACGCGTATAAATGAAATATTGAAGCGACACGCAAAAACGGAAGGATGCTTTTTGCAGGGTAAAAAAAGGGTGTAGGTGAAACTGTTGCAGCGATCTCTGTCCTTCGATCGAGCGTAACGAGCGACGGTATTATTGCGTTTTATTGCCTCGTTCTGTATTCTACGGTTTCACGGAGCCAGACATCGCGTAATGTAGAAATATGAAACTTGTCGGCGGCAGGATATTAGAATGCGCCTCGATCAATGAACGATGCGGAGCGCAGAAAAAGGATTCGCGTTGCAAATTGCGTCCTCGTGCACGAACGAGAAAACGAATCGCGTCATGCTTCCTTGTCGGACCCGTCTGACGATCATTTTCCTTAAATGTTATAACCTGCGGAAATTGACGGGGAATCGCCGTTCGATTATAATCGTTTCGCTTTTTTAAGTGGATTGAGATTTTGTTAGATTTTGTAGATTCGCTCTTAACGCAAACTTTTTGAGATTCACTTTTGATAACATATTTGTCGACAGGATTTATTACAGGATTACAAGTTATTATTTATCAATAAGATTTAAGAACATATTTTATTGTTTGTTAGCAAGATTTAGGAACGTATTTTATTATGTGTCAACAGGATTTAACAGTATATATTTTTAGTTTTCAACAGGGTTTAAAAATATATTATATTATTTGTCAACAGGGTTAAAGAATATATGTATGTCAATAGAATTTAGGATTTTTGTATAGTCCATTATCAAATTCTTTTAACTCTAATTCTAAGGATGATGAACATAGTTGACATATTATATTAGCATCCGTCTTGTTGTAAGTACGTCTGTAAGGTCTAAGAGAATGAATCTTGAAGTTAATTGATTCTGATTTGATAGAAACCAGAATAGAGTTTGTACCCACACGTAAAAAGGACAAGAACATTTTGCACGCCGCAATACAAGCATTCCCCGTAGCATACGACCACGTAAAGATTTTATTTATACACAGCCATTCGGCCGAACTCAACTTTATTGACTTAGGTTTCAAAGTTACGATTCGAGGTTACGACACCGCGTACAAGAAGAATCACGAGTAGAGGAAGTAAAAGCGTACGAGAGACGTGCGAGGACATCGGTCTATCGGAAATGAGGAAGACTGAAGAAAGAGAAAATAGAAAACAAGAATAGAACTCACCGTCTTTCCTCTGTCTCCTCCAGGGTAAGGTGCCGTGAATACTCTCGACATCGGAGATATCGCTTCCGAGTAGTTGTCTGAGCTCTGCGTCCGCGCGATCCTCTTTCGTCCTGAATTTACCAACCTGTAACGATACAAAGTCGAAATCGTATTTATGCTGGTATCGATATAATATCGTGATTGACGTAAATAGAGCAGGAAAGTCTAAGAAACTTTTTTTATTTATACTACTTTTTCCAGGGAAAGGTTGTTATGACAACGAATATCGCAGAAATGAAAACGGAGACAAGCGGAATATTAATGCAACGGTAGGCAAGAAAAGAAATTGATTCTTTCCGCGGCGAGGAAGCAATTTATTCCCCTTGAAGGAGCGAGCATAATGTCTTTCATGCTTCGATAGCTGTATTCGATCGACGGTCGTCCGATAGGACCCTCAGAATCGACGAAAAATTCGTATTCTTTCGCAGTCTAACTTTTAATTACTATTTGAGGTAAAATCTACTTTTCTCCATGAGAAGTTTTCGATAAGAAATAATTAATAATTTTGTCAAAGGTAGAAGCTTTTTTGTACACTTCCAAAATATATATCATAATATCTTACATTACATCTAACAAAAAGATAAGTATAACATCAACATAACCATAGTTCAATCTCCAGACATTCAACGATAAATATAATTTAGCAAAAACTCACACGTAAATTCTAATTACAACTAATCTAATTTATAATGTTAAGTTAATTTTAGAACATAAATTTTATGAAAACCAGCGCAGGTCAATAAAAGATTTCAAAATTCCCGCGCTCCGACTTTATTCATCGAGCGTGGCCGCTAAAGCTGAACCATCGCGCATGATAAATAATTCATAAAACAAAAAAGCGATGAAATTCGGAGCCAACGGAACTCACCTCTGTGATCATTTTTCCTCTGGTCTTATTTCGTTCTCGGTGATTCGCTTTTTTCTCCAGCTGCTGTATCACTCGTTCACGGGTTGTTCTGTACTCGAGGGCGAATTCGGACACGATCCGACAGAACTCGTTTGGCTTGGTATCCTGCACCCTGTGCAAGGGGATGCCCAGCCACAGGACGAACTTGTGAAATCGATTTATGATCCGCCTGTGCACGATGCCCAGAACGATTATTCTTTCCGCGCAGTCTGCCAGGAAGTCCGACATCCTGGTGTAACAGAAAAAATTTACAAAATAAGAATTGATGAGGCACAAGTACGTTATGGTTTATTTTTTAGTAGCGCAGGGTGATTATCGTGATTTTCAATTACTCTTTGTTGTTGTACAGCCATTTTAGTTTCATTACGATTACTTTAGATTCTTTAAGAAAATGGCGGCGTACAGGAAGTGCGGAATAGACTGAGCGTGTTTGTTCTTAAGGAAAATAGCAGAGGAAGGGAAGATCAATTCAGACAAACTATTAATTTAAATTCACACATTTTCTACGTTAGAAGACATAATCTAAATAGTTTCTTCATCATGCTATCGTACATAAATAAATAAACTGTAGCATGAATTAAAATCTTTAAATCTAAAGTTTGAAAATAATTCTCATTCAACAATGAACGTGTAAAAAAGAACGCAAGATGTCGATTTTCTCCTTAACCAGAGAAAAATTGATTACGATACGATTTAACGATACATCACCGAACTCGAATACGTTTTAATATCACTGTCCCGTATCCGTAACATTTCATCGTAGAATGACTTATCGGCCGAAATTTCACCTTGACATCCACCGAATCAACCAATCATTGTTCTGACGTGAATCGCAAAAAAGCAATCACCGATGGCAATTTTTTACACGAAACATTTCCATTACTCTCGAAGAGGAAGCCGACTCGGAGGATCACCGAAACGAGTTTCGGGCAAAAACGAATTAACTCGGCTGGCATTTAGGACGTCCCGTTACACTTAATTAACACGGGTACAGCATTAAACCAGACGTTTCACCGTTAAACAAAATATCACCGCAGTATATCTGCGCGAAATAACAGCGTGCATCGACACGACAGGATATGAAATGTTGCCCGAGCGACTGCTACTTACGGCATTGCAATTAAGTGCGAGATTCGTCTGCCACCACAGACACGTCTATTGTTCTCAACGAGGGCCAACTGTAAATACGATTAAATGCATGCACGACGAACAAAGGATCATTTTGCGACCAAAAGCGGGCAACCGTTGACGAATGATCGAAATGGACGAAATAATCGAAGGGCCATTGATTAGGTTACAAACAAGTTTACGGAATTTCAGGAATTTCTTAGTCACGTTTTCTACAGAAATTAAAATTTGGATGGGTTGATGACTTGTTTCGTAAAAACTTCTGCAACATTTTATGTACTCATGGTATTATTAAATTTTTTAAAAATAATTATTGTAATTTTTTGACTGCAATTTTTCTACCAAACGTATCTAAAGTTATTCTAAATTCTTCACCTATGAGGCAAGTCAGTCACATTAATTATTGCTACAATTTTTATACAAATAAAGAAAGTTGAAATGCATATTTTATATGTAGGAATCCTTGATTTAACACACGAGAGTTTGTATTAAATAGACTACATCGTGGTGCAAATATTGATTGCATCTAAACTTACTCTGCGTGAACAGTAATATACGAGTGACAGATTATAAAGAAAAGAATTAAACTCGATAACGTCAACAAAATTGAAGGAACTTAAAGGAGCTTTAATACACAGCAACAAGGTTTCAAATGCCGATAATACTTTTTACCGAGCCCGTATATGCCGCAAACTTGTTTCGCAGGCTGTATTCGCAAGAAAAAACGAAAATACGAGTTAAACAAAGAAGCAAAAAGAAAAGAAGATTATCCGATATAGCTGAGTCAGATAAGGGCAAGTTCAAGGGACGGAGGATGAACGGATAAAAGCTTCGAAGATCCGCCGCGAAGCTCAAAGTAGAAACGGGATAAGGTGAAATAAAATAAAAGTAGGGAGGGGAAAAAAAGCTTAAAGCGGACGAGCAGCGAAGAAGGAAGAAATACGCTTTCAGTAATTAATGGCGGTGCCATTTGGAGCGGTGCCAGTTTTCTTGCTGGAAAAAGACCTGTCGCGAGTTTATCGAACATCGCTCGGATCTTCGGAAATTTTCGCGATCGAAAGTTCTGCGGAAGAAGCTTCTTTTCTAGCCTCGAATAGGATGGGAATCGATCCTGTTAAATAGCAACTTCGTGACGCGAAATACACAAGTACATTACTGGTCGTCGCTTTACTCTTAAACTTTTTAATTTTCCAATTCTTTTTATTGTAAACTCTTAAGATAAGAAGGTTAGAAATTTCTATGTTTACAAATTTGTAAATTTCAAACTTAAAAATTTTAGAATTTTCAAGTCTATAAAATTTCATGTTAGCAAAATTTAGAAATTTTTAAGTTTTCAAGATTTTTAATTTTTTAGCAATTTTTAATGTTAAAAATTAAATGGAATTTGATTTCCAATTTCTCAAAATTTTAGATCTAGAAATTAGATTATAAAACAGAAGTTTTCAAGTTTGAGTTTTAAAGCTACATAAATGCAAATATCTGTATATTTAACTTACTTGACTTTCATCATTGTAGACCCGTCATGTTTCGCGATGAGTTTGAGGTGGTCCCAAGATGCCTTGCACTCGCTCTCGAGTTTACTTATGTTGGACGCAAGCTCGTCGAAATCGATCTTCGAGGCTCTTGTCACAGCACCGATCTAAACACATTCATATTGTTCATAACAAAGTTAATTCTTAATTTCAGTGGTTCCACTAATGTCACCTATCACTATTTCTATACAAGTAAAAAATAGTAAAAAATTCTCTTTATTCAACGACACTAAAACTGTTGAATTTGAATAATAACCTAATGTATATGCGATTAACCATTCCAAGTAATTAATTACACGATTAAACGAAGCTACGACAAATTGGCTAAAAATAGTTATCATGCAAATGCAGCGTCTAATTAGACGAGAACAGAAGTGAGCCACGTGCTGTGGATACAATTTCACGGAAGGGGGTCCGTAATGGCCTCCAAAGAAGTTCTGTGGGGCAGGAGGAACGAAGTTCGGTCGTGATTTCGCAAATGTAGCCCCGGTTATTCGGTCTAAAGTTTTCTCTTCCTTCGTCACGAAAGGTAAGCTCACCCTCTCTCCTTTCTATCTCACCTCCGAATAGAGATCCGTGGAATCCGGAAACTTCTCCATCACCATGTGGCAAAGGTGATGAAGCAATGAGTGCTTGTGAACCGTATCCTTCACTTCAGGTACTTTGGCGAGGTATTCCAACTGAAAGCCCTTCACCTGAAAAAGGCCGCGAGACGTTTCAGCGATGCTTGGAATATCGTGACGGCTAACTTCTGCGTTTTAGCCGCTCGAGCTTTCTGTAGACGCTTCTGACCACTTTGCCCTCTAACGTAATTGTGGAAAACTTGAAATCGATGTCGTTGCTTTTACTACGCGACCCGCGACGAATTCTCAATTCGGTCTTTCCTTTGAACATTTCTGCTTTCGTTACATTACTCTATGACACTTTTATTCAGCGTATATTACTTTTAGAAGGATTATTATGAAAGCACTGTTATATGTAATAAATCAGGTATTTGGTACGGTTACATTAATATTCGGATACAGCATGCCTACATTTGACTTATACATTAATAGTCTACATTAGACTACTTATTTAAAATTTTTCGATACGTACGTAAGAAAATTAAAGGTAAATAAAAAAAATTGAGGTGAATAGAGAATGTTGAAACGTTAGGTATGTTTATAATTTAGCGACCTTAATTATACAAGCTGCAAATGGTATCATACTAAAAACTCAATCTTTATACAAATACGATTTAGTTCTGTCACATGTGCGTCACATAGTGCGTCACGAGTCTGACTCCATAGGTCAAGGGGTTGAAATTTCTTCAATAACTTCTATGTGTTGTAATATTTAGTTAAACAAGTATTCACGAGCTTCCAGCCGAATTGCAGTATTATTTAAAGTACGAAAGAATGCACCTGCACGGAGAGGTACAGGTAGTGCACCGTATGTCAAACTCGTAAAGCAAGATTCGAAGGGCACGTAAAAAACGCTAATAAGGTGTCACGGAAACGGCAAAGGAAAAATCTAAAATTCAAAGCGTAAAGCTGTATCCGTTGGCTTTACGAGTTTACCGTTCGTGACGGAACATTTAGGAACGACGATCTTCCGCGAATATAAATTCCGCTCTTACCGCCGTTAAAGTCAGATTATTCAAATAGCCGAGGGGCTCCGAACCAGGCGAAATTTAACAATCTGCATAACAAATTCCGTTCGGCTCGTAACTTTTTTTTCTTCGTTCTCGCTAATTTACTGTGAAACACGAGGAAGGAGCAGCTCACGCGACAACTTCGATAAACGAGCGTATCGCGTAAAAATGTACGGAGAGGAAAGCTCCGTCGAGGGAACGATAAGAAGCGATTAGTCGTGCGTCCTCAAAGGACCGTCGTTAGCCTACTCGGGCGGAAATGAACAATGACGAATGCAGAAGTATCGTCTTGGATCGATTTGAGATCGAATCTTGCACGAATATTCGTGCGAATGCACCATTTGTGCGTTCGATAACGTCAACTTTATTGTCGCGAACACGAAAGCGTTGTGGTCAGAAGCGTTCTTCTCGTAATATCGAATTTCATTAGCAAAGAATTCATTGTGCGTACAATGATCCTGTGGTTTTTATAGCGATGCTTCTGATTAATCGCGCTCAAAGCTGAAATAAATGATGGAAATTAGCATTAAAAGGAGGCAATAATTTAGCGAAATTATCGCGTGCACTTGTCTGAAGTAAGGTTGTAGAATTCTGGTTCACCCTGAGGGTTAATAGGTTGATTCATTTATTCGAATATTTTAATTTGTATTTTTAAATTGGAACATTGTCAAGTTATCAAGTTTCTATAGTAAACTTCTTTGTTTCTAAAAATTGAAACATCTTTATTCCAAAAGAGTTGTAATTTGAAGAGGTGCAATGTTTGTATAATTTTGCAAAATTATTTTTAGTATAAAAAAGATCCAGTAGAACAGCAACTGGAAATAACACCATTTAACAGGTAAGTATAACATATGCATATTCCATTTGTAGAAACATATATTTTATAGTCGTACGTGATTCATCGCGACAGATCGAACGTGTGCTACTATAAAATATATAGAATACATTCGCCATATCTGTTCGCCAAACAGTCATATACAACCAACTGTCAGAGCTCTAATTTATGAATCACTGTGTAACTATTTCTTCAACGTCCACTATGATACCAATCACAAGAAACTTGCATCGCACGCGACACAAGCAGAAATAAACTCGAAGGTACAATTACTATCGCATCACATAAAATCACGTGCTATCGTGAATAAATATTCTGATATTCGGAAACATTATATATTATTTCTACTTGCGTTATACTTATATTATTCGTGACAGTAAATGATTTACTGTAATGTGGTGGCTGGGTGTTTTTACCTTCAGTAGCTAATACTCGAAGTTTCACCCACATGTGGATAACGTTCAAGTTTTCATATACTATTGTAAATTTGTTCTTTCATCTAGTTAAAAATACTCGTATTACTACTTGAAACTGTGGTTAACAACTATAACAAAATATTGCGAAAATATTGGGTAAGATTTGTTAAAAACAAAATGACTACCTAATTAAATTTTCAACTGCGTCGGTATGTCAACGTGTCAAAAAGTTTGATGAATTCTGAACTGATCTCTCACTATTCCACTATGTTTATACATTAAACTTTGATAAAAATATCTATTTCAAATTGTATTAAGTCAAATTGCAAAGTTTCAATATCTCCAGTTTCCAAGAACCCCAAAAGATAAAAGATCACAGTATTCCAACGTACAAAGTAACGATAGTAATCGAAAAATGTACCAGCAGAAAGGTGCAAAGTGTTCAGAGCAGCTGCGAACACTGCAAACAAAAGGTGAACGTGATCGTCCGACGGTTTCTCTTTCCAAAAACGTGGCAACGATCCAACGGTCCAGTAGCCAACGTTCGCCACCTTTTTCCGGACCATCGAGCAGCGGTTACACGAAAATTATCGACACTGATGGGTATCGATTCAACACGGACCAACCCGTGACGCAGACGGACGAACGGATTAAGCGGATATCATTTGGCTGGCATTCAATACCTACCTCATTTCCGTTGAGGAATATCCCGATCGAAAGGAGCGTGCTCAGAATCCCGCGGAACGTTTTATTCACTCGCAGCGTCTCCATTCCCTGCTTCAGATCCATCAAAGGGTCCGCAATTTCCTAGAGTCACAAAGGTGGTTCGCGATTATTATTTTTTTTTCTTTACCACCTCATGTTACCTGGTAACCTTTTAGGTTACATTTTGCATTCAGTAGATGCAATAAATGTGTCATATTAAGAAAATTTGAGATGAGAGTGCAGTAATGGTTCCATAATATGGAAGTGCAATGAAAAAATTGGTGCGCGAAAATACACACGTTATCTCGTTCAATTACTCTGTTACAAGTTCTAAATGCGATCTCAATTTTTGGTTCTAAATAATCCGATGATCCGTAGATGTTCTGATTTAAGCAGTCGATTCTAATCAGACTGATTGCGAATGAATAAGTAATGGCAAAGGAAAGCGTTGGAAGGAAGAATCGTTCAATTATTAGCATGGACTAGCGACGTGCAGCACAAGTAAGTACGTTTCACCGTGAGAAGCTGCATGACATTTCAAATGCAAATTCTATTAAGCACGCTCGAATACAAATGCGGGTAATAGTGATCGAATTGGCCCGTTATTTCTCACGAATCTCGTCTTGAATTCCGTGTCGGTACTCGCGACCACGACAAGGAAAAACGCCAGGTATGCGGGGAAGGAAGTCGCGGGGAACGTTCTTCGCATAATCGCGCGATTTCTTCGCTGAGAACATACCGGATTCCGATACACGATCGTGCCGCGCTCGTCGAACGTGTGCATCGCTTCCTTGCTGGTTGAGGTGTGAAACACTTCACGAGATCCACAATTTTTACATCTGACTTCCAACTTTCATTCAATTATTTAACTATTGCAAACTTCTTTTTCATTTATGTTCTTGGTATAGGTTACACAAATTGACTCTTTTAGATGACTTTCAGAAAATGTAGAACCTAACCTCCAATTTTCATTCTTTAATTATTTGATGATTGCAAACAAAACTTCTTGCGCTTCTATATTTTTGTTGTAAGATATACAAATCGACAATGACAATGTCAGGCAGCTTGAAAATTTAGAACCTAACCTAACTTGCAACTTTCAAGTTTTTAATTAATTAACGATTGCAAACAAAATTTCTTTCCCTTTTACATGTTTGTTGTGAGATATACAAATCGACAATGACAATGTCAGACAACTTGAAAATTTACAACCTAACCTAACTTGCAACTTTCAAGTTTTTAATTACTGAATGATTGCAAACAAAATTTCTTTCTCATCCATGTCTTTATTATAACAAATCCTATAGGATATACAAATCTGTAATGGCAATTGTAGACAATTTTTGGAAAATTTATATATAATTTATTACACAATAAATCAACCTGAAAATTGTATTTTTTGAAATACATGTACGATATGATTGTTCCAAAATAATTTCAAGCTGGTTTCAGATGTAACAATTGATGAATCAATGAATGAATGAAGAAAGTGTTCCAAAAAAATTAAATTCCAAATAAATGGTCTTCTAAAGGGATAATAATGTACTCACCTTTTCTGAATTTTCAAAGTCGAGTTTGAAAGCCCACAGTTTCAGTCTGGCAGGTAACTCCGAGATAGAAGCCAAAGTTAAAAGGAACTGTTCAGCTGATCCCAAAGGTAGGTCAGGATTGGCGGCCTGCGCCTCTTGTATCCTGGACCTCTCCTCCTCGGTTGGCAGCATCGTCAACAGTTTCTGTCGCGAACGGACCAGGAAAAAGGACAGGGAAGAAGAGAACGAAGAAGAGAAACGAACAAGAATAAAATTAGAGAAATCAAGAAAAATATCGTAAATAAAACGTACGTGTGCGTTTTAACTGAATCATAGGGTTGACTTTGAACCAAGGATCGTAATTTGTGTGGTCGTGCAATAGACCTGGAGTTTAAACGAAATCGGGAATGTGATCAACACTTTGGGGAATAAAGAAATTTGGGGATGATCTTAGAACCTGTTTGATTTCATGCAATGTGCTTTGAGAAAGTTAGCATATAGGTAGATGGTACTAGAGACGATCTGAGGGAAATATAGATTTAGATTTATTTTAGGGGGGTTTGTGGTAGTGATGGGTAGATGATTGCTTATTATTTTTGAAACTTACAAATTATGAAATTACACATTTTTAAATTTTTCAGAATTCCCAAAATTCCAAATTCCCAAGATTCAAAATTTCTAAGATTCCAAATTTCCAAGATTCCAAATTCCCAAAATTCCAAATTCCCAAGATTTCAAATTCCCAAGATTTCAAATTCCCAAGATTCCAAATTCCCAAGATTCCAAATTCCCAAGATTCCAAATTCCCAAGATTCCAAATTCCCAAGATTCCAAATTCCCAAGATTCCAAATTCCCAAGATTCCAAATTCCCAAGATTCCAAATTCCCAAGATTCCAAATTCCCAAGATTCCAAATTCCCAAGATTCCAAATTCCCAAGATTCCAAATTCCCAAGATTCCAAATTCCCAAGATTCCAAATTCCCAAGATTCCAAATTCCCAAGATTCCAAATTCCCAAGATTCCAAATTCCCAAGATTCCAAATTCCCAAGATTCCAAATTCCCAAGATTCCAAATTCCCAAGATTCCAAATTCCCAAGATTCCAAATTCCCAAGATTCCAAATTCCCAAGATTCCAAATTCCCAAGATTCCAAATTCCCAAGATTCCAAATTCCCAAGATTCCAAATTCCCAAGATTCCAAATTCCCAAGATTCCAAATTCCCAAGATTCCAAATTCCCAAGATTCCAAATTCCCAAGATTCCAAATTCGCAAGATTCCAAATTCCCAAGATTCCAAATTCCCAAGATTCCATATTCCCAAGATTCCAAATTTCCAAGATTCCAAATTCCCAAGATTTCAAATTCCTAAGATTCCAAATTCCCTTCCCAAAATTCCCAAAATTCCCAAAATTCCCAAAATTCCAAATTCCCAAAATTTTCACATTTTCAAATGTGGTTTTTCAAATCAGTTACCCATCACTGTCTTTAACTCTTAGATTCTTAAATTCTTATAACACAAGCAACTAATTTTTTACTTGCAACCTTTTACTATTACAAAGTAAAACAATACAGTAAACCCTCGTTATATTGCATCCATCTATAAAACAAAAACTATTATAATATCAAAGAAGATTTGCACCCAATTCAATAAGCTGCGACTTTCAATTTCATCTACGTCAATGGCAATATAACGAGAGTGTAGAATTGTTCTGCCTCTTCGGCGGATCTACTTCTGTTTTAATTTGAATTTTATTGAAATTACGGTCAGCATATGCAGAAGGAAATACAGATGCGTTCCAAACGCGATAAAAGGGAATATTCCAAAATTTATGGATATCTGCATGCAAATATTTCAATTGTATTACATTAACCAAAAATATCAAAGTGAAGTTTGTGTAGCACAGAAAATAATATCTCTGTTGAATAATATTTTTAAAATATCAAATGACACGCAGCCTTTTCGTTATTTTCGATGAGCAGAAATATTTAATTAACAGCAGTTAATTTACATATCCGAGAAGTAATATTTCAGCATTTGTGTACATTATTAAAATCACGATTCAATAAGAACAAACATTTTGCTAACTCAATAAAACGAATAAGATCTTCGATAAATATTTTACTATTTACAAATGTCTGCATGCTTCCATTTCAATCGTATTTCGATAAGCAAAATTAGGTAACTGAAGTTTATTTAACGGAGAGCTTAATATTCCTGGCGAATAATATTTCGCGAATAATAATTATTAATATCGTATGTTCGTATTTCAATCGTATTTCGATAAGCAAAATTATTTACGTAATTGAAGTTCGATTAATTGAATCGACGGTTCGTTAAATATACTGCGTTTATTAATTTTATTAAAAAAAGATAAGCAATAATCGATGTTCTTACCTCGATACCTTCTCTGTTCATAATGGTTGCATCCATTTTCAAGATCGCGGTCTTAATTGATCTCGGCGGAGGCAATTTCGTCATCCCGATATTGATAGCGTTCGATCGTTTATGGTCCAGCACGATGATCTCTTTGTTCTTGTTCATCTCCTGCTGCTTCTATACGACGATAAAAACAAAACGAGCGTGTACATTCGTTGACAAAAAAATCCAGAAATAAAAAAATGTTGTCCATCGTTTTCTTAACACTCCAAATTATGAAGATAATTAATGACGAACACATCGTGCACTGACAACGAGTGTGGCTTTCAAACGAAAAACACGTCTAATCAACGTAACTCTGAACATTAACAACCAAGTGCAAGTCAAATATTTGCACTCCGACCGGAAACGAAAATGCTAATGTACCTGCAATTTCCACAAATCAATTGGAAAGAAATGTCCCGTATAAGTGCGTTAACAGCGGAATGAAATTAACAGAAAGTAATTAAAAGCGAACAATATACACGAACCGTTACCATTTTGTTATTAGTTAAACTTGAAAGAATGTAGAGATAGAACGGAAAGAGAAAAAATTAACCCTCGCAATGTTACGGAAGATTTTCGTTATATTGCCATATATGAAGTTGCAGGGTGTAACATTTTTGGCACAAGTAATATATGGAATGGGTTGGTTTATACACGAAATCTTATGATATTGCAGTAATTTTCGTGGAATTTCCTTTCCAGGATATTATGCGTGGTGATACAGTGGGCGGCGATATAACGCGTGATAAATAGGGTGAGTTGCAAATACAATGCGTGGCAAGTACAATGATTGGCGGTACAACGCGTTGTAATACAGCACATTGCTGATACGATGCGCGGTGATATAACGCGAGGTAATACAACACGTTGCAAATTCGACGCGTGGTAATATAACGCGAGGTAATGCAACACGTTGGAAATTTGACGCGTGGTGATATAACGCGAGGTGATACAACACGTTGGAAATTCGACGCGTGGTGATATAACGCGAGGTAATGCAACGCGTTGGAAATTTGACGCGTGGTGATATAACGCGAGGTGATACAACACATTGAAAATTCGACGCGAGGTGATATAACGCGAGGTAATGCAACGCGTTGGAAATTCGACGCGTGGTGATATAACGCGAGGTAATGCAACACGTTGGAAATTCGACGCGTGGTGATAAAGCGCGAGGTAATGCAACACGTTGGATATTCCATGCGTGGTGATATAACGCGCGGTGACATAACATGAAAGTGTGCAACACGTGGTGATATAATGAGATGTAATGTAGCGCGTCCTAATACAACGCGTGGTGATATAGCGCGAGGTGATACAACACGTTGAAAATTCGACGCGTGGTGATATAACGCGAGATGATACAACACGTTGAAAATTCGACGCGTGGTAATATAACGCGAGGTAATGCAACACGTTGGAAATTCGACGCGTGGTAATATAACGCGAGGTAATGCAACACGTTGGAAATTCGACGCGTGGTGATAAAGCGCGAGGTAATGCAACACGTTGGAAATTCGATGCGTGGTGATATAACGCGCGGTGACATAACATGAAGGTGTGCAACGCGTGGTGATATAATGCGTTGTAATGTAGCGCGTACTAATACAACGCGTGGTGATATAACGCGACGTGATACAATGCGTACTGCAACAACGCGTGGTGATACAACACGTGATCCATCGCGTAGTAAATGCAATATATGATGACATAACTATAACAATGAACTAAATAGTATATGTGAGAATTCATACAAATATGGTAATATACCGAGAGTCTATTATTACTCCATGTTTCTGTGGCTCGTTTAAAAAAATGCTTAATATTGCGAGAGTTACAATTTTGACTATCAGAAGAACTACAATAGCAAAACAAGTTTGAAAAGAAGTTAAACGATTAATAGAAAGAGAGTAATTTCACGTAATAATTATCGAGAATCATTTCCAATTTTATTAGTGCCAAGCGTGAAAGGGAATAAAAGGTGAAAGATGCAAAAGCAAACACGTTAGCGAAAATTGTTAAGTGAAGTTAAGAAATTAGGACTCACCTCCTGTAAAATTCCAGCATGCCATTTCGTTCATTTTTTCGTGCGAGCACCAAGAATATTGCAAATAATACAAGAAAAGATTAGTCGTATTGCATTAAACCACCATCACCACCACCCCAACCACTATTCGCCATATTATTATTATTATTATTATTATTATTATTGTACGAGATCATTATCGTGGGATATCGTTACAGTTCCGGACGGTATTAATTTACGGCGTGTTATTGTTAAAGTTGCTTCATTAGACTAACAGAACCCGTAATATTACACCAAGATTATAATTGTTTGTGGACATGATTATGATCAACTCGTGAAATCGCTAGCAGCTAGCGCACGTCCACGATAACAAACAGTGAAGATAAATTGCGACGCGGACATTGTTGTAATTCGTGATGAATTATAATGTTATCAAATGTCTATTAATTAACAGAATCTAAAATTAATCGTTTTAATTACTGGTCGCAACAGATGTTAAATATCATTCTCGAATTACTGACAAATCAATATTTCTACTTATTTCATAAATAACTTATAATAATTGAAATCTATAATATTTTAGTAATTTGATCTTAAAATAATTTAACGAACGAAGCAATTAAATTAAAATTTTCTTTTTCATAAGAGAAATAAATTTTCTGTCAAAATTATATTTATGCAGTAATTTACCAAAATATTTTATTCGTTTATCAATGATTGCAGACATCTCGCAGAAGGTCATAGCAAAAATTATTAGTAATTGTTACTTTTATATCTCCTATGATATTGCCCTTAAATACGTGAAATAATTTGATATGTAATATTCAGTATATTAAATGTTCTTAGGAAGCATTAGACCGAGAGTTCATCAAGCTTCATTAAATGTACACTTAACGCGGGGAAACAGTTAACCACGTCCCATAGAATTTTTCCATTCCCCACCCCTTTACTTCGCGGAACTATTTTTCCATAGGTAAGCGGTCGGCGTCCCATAATTTTTCCCGATTCGCATCTCCTTTTTCAGCTCCTCTTTTTTCTCTATCACGGAAGACTCGTTGGACTCTCCACTCAGCACTAATTATCACCGGACTCCGAGGTAAGCGTAAAAGTTCAAAGGATGAAACATCAGGGTAAAAAGGATCTTTCCTTCGAGTAATGTTACGAGAAACGCGAAAAAGGAGAAAATGAGAACACGTGTGGAAATAACGTCATGTTACGTCGGATCTACTAGGATTTGCAAAAATCTACATTCAACCTTAGTTTTCTACATCTGGAACCAGGGTGTATTAAGTCTAATTTTCTACCTTTGCTTGAAAAATTAGCTCTTTAATTTTTAACGTAAAGAGTGACGTTTCTGTCAAAAATTAGTTAAATTTAAGAATTAAATTCGGAGAAAACTTGTAAATAGTTGGCTGTGTTGGAATTCTATAAGGAACTTCTTTTAACGCTTCTCTAACTTGATAACTGGGGATAAATGAGTTAAAACGTCGTTCGAGAAATCGACGTTCAAAACGTAATAAGGCTAATTTACGGAGAGGTCTAATTGAATGATGCATCTCTTAAAGTATTGTATTAACAACCATTTACCTACAAGTTGTCATAATTATAGTATCAGTTTATCTTGTCAGTTGAATTTAGGAATAAAAAAGCAAGAAAATGTTCGTTCTACTGATCTGAATGCCCCTAAAGCCCCGGGAGCAGGAAATTATCTAACAGTTACTACTGCAATTTACCTACAATTTATCCCAATTATATTAACACTTCTCTGGTCAATTGTATTTGGGAAAAAAGTAGAATATTCACTCTACTGATCTGAAGGATCCTACAGCCCCGAGAGCAGGAAATTATCAAACAGTTACTATTGCAATTTACCTACAATTTTTCACGATTATATTAACACTTATCTCGTTAGCTGAATTTAGGAATTAAAAAGTAGAATATCCACTCTAGTGATCTGAACTCTCTTAAAGCCCCGAGAGCAGGAAATTATCTAACTATTACTAATACGAAAAATTCGAATTACAATTCTTAAGCAATCACAATTCATCCATAACACTAAACTGACAATCGCAGAAGACCAACATCTTTCTAATTAATCCCTGATCATTCTATTCATCGAAAAATTTTATTTAATCGCGCCTCTCACAAATTCTGCTGGCATAAGAAAATCTCGCCCTAATATTTAATCGATTCTCGTAGAACACGGAACGAGCAAAGCTGATAAAACCGGCACGTAATTACAGGAGCAATTAACGACATGCTGGTCGTACGTGTGAAATCTTTGAACGTCGACCCATCGGCGATCCCTGAAGAATTTCCGTCGGTTTGCAGAGACAGAAGGAAAAATGCGTGCTCGACAGAGACGATCAGACATTATTTGATATCGTCGGAACGAGAGAGGAATTAATGCACGCGCGAAATGACACGCCACTCTGCAACCGGAAAGACGTGATTCTATTTAGGTGATCAACGCGAAGGAAGAGGGCGTCGGATTTTTACGTCGGGAAAATCGAGCAACCACCCGAGGAAATTACATGCGTTTCCTTTTCCGTTCACCGTGATATTTTTCCGCTTACTCTTTCCTTCTATATTATGTAATTTTATGACTTCATTTTTTGTGTCATTTTATTTTGTTCAGCTACTTTTAGATCGTTGATTATGAATTTTGAATTGTGATGCTAATATGATTATTTTTTATCGATATGTGAAATGTTTATTGATTATTGATACATGAAATGTGTTATTAATTGCTGACATGAAATATGCTCATTATTCATTGACACGTAAAATGATTATTGATTATTGAGACACAGAATGATTATTGATAACTTATGTGTAATAGTGTAAATGTTTATTAATTGTAAAATGATTATTGATTATTGATCTGTGAAATGACTATTCATTATCAATATGTAAAATGTTTATTGATTATTGATCTGTGAAATGACTATTGATTATCGATACATAAAATGATTATTGATTATCGATACATGAAATGATTATTGATTATCGATACATAAAGTGATTATTGATTATTGATCTATGAAATGACTTTTGATTATCGATACATAAAATGATTATTGATTATTGACCTATGAAATAACTA